CTCTCTGACCCTCAATTTTCTTATCAGCAAAATGGGAGTAAAAACAATAATGACCTCATAGGATTGTTGTATTAAAAAAGGCAATGTAGGCTTGGCGCCTGTGGCTCAAGTGGCTAAGGTGCCAGCCACATACACCTAAGGTGGTGGGTTTGAATCCAGCCCGGGTCCGCCAAACACTAATGAGGCTGCAACCAAAAAACAGCTAGGCATTGTGGCAGGCGCCTATAGTCCCAGCTCTTGGGAGGCTGAGGCAGGAGAATTGCTTGAGCCCAGGAGTTGGAGATTGCTGTGAGCTGTGATGCCATAGCACTCTACCCAGGGCGACAGCTTGAGGCTGTCTCAAAAAAAAAAAAAAGGCAATGTATTCTAAGGCATTTGACACACTGCTTATAGTAAGCACCTAATAAATTGTTACCTATTATTATATTATGTCTTGCCTCCCTAATTGGACTATAATGTACACTATAACTCCTAGGACCACTGTAGGCCTCCTAGCCCAATGTGCTTTTCATTATATGGACTCACTCGGGACTCAGTAGTTTAAAAAACTTTGGGGGCCAGGCATGGTGGCTCACATCTATAGTCCCAGCACTTTGGAAGACCAAGGTGAGAGGATCATTTGAGGCCAGGAGGCCTGGGTAATACAGATCCTGACTCTACAGACTTTAAAAAAAAAAATTAGCTTGACATGTTGGCACATGCCTATAGTCCCAGCTACTCAGGAGGCAGAGGCAGGAAGATCACTTGAGCCCAGAAGCTTGAGGTTACAGTGAGCTGATTGCACTACTGTACTTCAGTCTGGGCCACAAGGTGAGACCCTGACTCTTAAAAAAAGATAATAAAGGGCAGCGCCTGTGGCTCAGTGAGTAGGGAGCCAGCCCCATATACCGAGGGTGGCAGATTCAAACCCAGCCCCGGCCAAACTGCAACAAAAAATAGCTGGGCGTTGTGGTGGGCGCCTGTAGTCCTAGCTACTTAGGAGGCTGAGGCAACAGAATCGCCTGAGCCCAAGAGCTGGAGGTTGCTGTGAGCTATGATGCCACAGCACTCTACTGAGGGTGACAAAGTGAGACTGTGTCTCTAAAAAATAATAATAATAATAAAATTAAAATAAAATAGATTTTAAAAACTTTGAGTTTAGCAGTCAAGAGATCTCCAGGTCTTATTCCAGCCTTAGCATGTCTAACTGTGTGATCTTAGGCAACTTATTTAACTTTCCTGAACTCCAACTTCTATAATATAGGAAAAATAACCATCACAAAAGGTGAGAATAAAATGATATAAAGTGTGCAAATGTACCTCCCATACTATCAGTCACATAGTGGGTTCTCAACAAATGTTAATTATATATGACTGCTGAAAAATAATAACAGTTCATTCTGTCTCTAAAAAAGGAAGGGATAAGAAAAGGGTTTCTAGTATTATTGCCTCTCCCACTTTTGTCTGCTATTATTATATTATGTCTCGCCTTCCCAATTGGACCATAATGTACACTATACCTCCTAGGACCACTGTAGGCCTCCTAGCCCAAGGTGCTTTTCATTATATGGACTCACTTGGGACTCAGTAGTTTAAAAAACTTTGGGGACCAGGCTCCCCTTGGGCCCTCAGACCACAAGTGAACACCTCTTTCCCTACACAATCCCTAGAATACTGGTGGAGGAGACCTCCATGTTAGCCTGTGTGAGACTCTATGCCAAGATAGTACCCTTTGAAAGCTGCACCTAGAGGCCCTAGGACAATGCCTGGCACACAGTGGGCTCTTCATAAATATCTGTTGACTAAAAGAGAAAAAAATTCCTAGCAATGAAGTTGGGAGAAGGTATTCCTAAGTGTTCTGCCTATCTTTTCCCCCCTTGCTGAAGATATTTTTTAGCTAGTGAGAAGGAGGATCTCTTCTCCTACCTCCATAGGAGGTGTCATCCAAACTAAAAAAGCGCTATGGCTTATTGGGGGAGGGAGACTCCAGTTGTTGCTATAAACCCTAAGACAGGAACTCTTCTGCAATTCACAGACTTCTCAGCAAACTCAAGTGGTGGCTCCAAATCTGAGGCTCCTTCCTTTCTTACCCTCATTGCTGCTGGGCCTCTAGGGTAAGCTCAGCAACAGATCTCTCCATACTCATCCCTACCTTGGAACCTCTTCTATTTCATCTTCATCTCTTCATGCACCAACCCCAGCTCTGCAATCCTAGACCCATCACAAAAGCCATTCTCTGGCAGAACTAGGATCCCTAAAGGCATTTTGAGTCCTGATTTCCATTATTAATATCAAGCTGTCACAGTAGGGTGGAATGTTCTTTTGTTTCTGCCCAGCCCCCAGAGTATCCCTGGGAGAGAAGGGGAACAAAGTTTAGGCTGTGTGATTCCATGAAGGCTGTATTGGTGGGACTGGAGTACAGACTGTGCCAGCATAGTTGGGGAGTGAGTAGCAACGCTCTTCTATAATTAGTCACCCCCACAGCAGAGCCTGCACAACAGGGAGGAGGAGGGTCTTGGTGGAGGAGGGACCACTGGCTGCTTAGAAGGCAGGAGGAAGGAGCAGAGGCAGGGAAAAGGAGCTCTATTAAGGGGAAAGGAGTCTAAAGAACAACCTTCGATGCTGTGAGGACTGAAGGAGGTTGGATATATAGAAGCATCTCTGGTAGGCAATACACAGTGCCCTCCCCCACCATAGAGGGAATTTTCTTATACCCTGAAGTGGGAGGAATGTGAATTCTGATGGGGAAAGGGAGTTTCCCACAACTAGGCATAAGAAGGTGGCATCTTTAAGTAAAGGAGAGCTAGAGGGAATGTGGCAGTTCAGTATCCCACCCAAGAGAATGGGTGCCTGTTAGAGACAGGATTGAGCACCAGGGGTGGTGGGTACTAACCCGGCCCAGGCCTGCTTAACCAAAACAACAATAAAAAACCCAAGCCGAGAACGGACACTTGAACGTGGTCTCCAGGGAAGGTTGCCTCCTCAGGACCAGGATGCCTGGCCTCTCTAGAGAATAGCATCCCCCCCCACCCCATGTCTCCACGTGTGCTCAGAGGTATCTGATTAGCTGGGATTGGAGGAGGCAAGACCAGACTGAGGCCGGCTTACTGTAAGGGGAAGAGGAGAGCAGAGAGGGCAAAGGAGCCTAAAGATGGAGGTGGGAAGAGCGGGGACAGCCCTTCAGCAAGGCAAATCCTCAGAGCTCCCACGGGAGGACACGAGGAGGAGAGCGAACCGCAAGAGGAGGCTGATGAACTGAGTGCCCGGATTTGTGGAATCAGAACCTAAGTCCTCCCACTAGATAAGAAGCTGGGTACTGGGGCGCTTTGGGGTGGGTTTGAGGTTGGCCACGGGCCTGGCGCACGCACACACGCACTCACCGATTTTGGCCAGACTGGCCACCAAGATCCACAGGGCCACCAGGTAGGGCGCCTCGACCTCGTGCCACTGCCAGCGGAAGAGCGCCAAGCCCGGGGAAGGCTCGCCCGGGAGCCCCGGCTTCTGGGGGGGCTCTTCGGTCGCCCCGGCCAGATGCAGCAAGAACAGGGGCAGTACAGCGCGCATCATCCTGCCGCCTGCCCAGGCGCCCTCCGGCTCGCCACCGCCGCCGGCCCAGCGTCGCCGTCACCGCCTACCGGGCGCCCCCGCGTCACAGGCACGTGGGGTCCGCTCCCCCCAATCCCGGCTCCGATACCTCCAAGCCAGGTCCAGGCTCCGTGATATTTCCCCGGACGCCGGTAGTCGGGACCCCCTTCTAATTCCACCCACGCCTGTCCCAGCTTCGGAAATTCTCCAGTGCAGCCCTGCTGCCCCAAGTCCCGCACCTATTCCTTGGAGTCTACTCCTCCAAAGCCCCCCACCGGATTCAGAGAGGTGAGCGGCCTCCGCCCTCCAGAGACAGCCCGCCGCGGGAGAGAAAAGGGTCCGCCCGGGCGCAGTCTGGGCGGGAGGGGTGCGGCTCCTCCACGCCTAACGCCACCCGGCGGTTAGCAGCCCGACCCGGGTGCCGAGGCTGATGGCCTCGGCGCAGCGTGGTGCCGACGGCAGGGGGAGGTGCTCCGCAGCCTTCCTTGCCGCCCCCTCAAGCCTGGGACCCCTTATCGGCCCTGGGCCAGAGCTGCGCACGCGCACTGGGTGCTCCCGAAAGCCATGGTGGACAACGCTGACCCCCAACATCCCCAAAGACTCCAAGACCCAAATTAAGCCTGGCTCATTCCAGGCAGAGAAGGAGGCTGTTCTTCATTTCCCAAACCAAGGGGTATCTGGCCCTTCCTTTCCCTCATACTAGAGAGAATTATTACTACCTTTTCTATGAAGTTGAAGGGAACCTGTGGAAAACTCGGCCTATTGATTCCCTTCAAATAACTTTCCCCCCAAATCTGAAGGGCATTCGGCTCATCTCGCCCCAAAAAAAGAGCATCTTGATTTTTCATTCAAGCTGAGGGGCACCCATCCCACGTCTTCCCCCAAACTGTGTGGGAACGTGTTCTACCTGCCCCCTCAAGCTGACTCATCCCATTCTTTTCCCAGAAGGGCATCCGTTCCTTTTCTTCCCACAACTAAAGGAAACTGATTCCAGCTCTTTCTTCAAACTGGGTGAAATCTATTTTCACTTTTTGCTCCAAACTGAAAGGGACACCTTTCTTTGCTTTCCCCCAGTGAGGGGAACAGATCCACTCACCCTGCAAGGAATTACAGCTATCTTGTCCCTAAACTGAGAGACCGGGCGATCACTAAACTGAAGAAACCTTAGCGTCTCCCCACTCCCTAACACCCCTCAAATAGAACGAAACCTCAATCTACTCAAGACCAAAAGAAAGCCTGTCCCGAGCTTCTGCGCGCTCTCAAAGGCGGGGCGCGAGCTCGGGTTTTCCCGCCGGTCTAGCCAGTAAACTAACGGGATTCCCACCGGTTTCTTTGAGTGGCTGGCGCAAGCCCCGCCTCCGGCAGTGGTTCCCCCCCCACCATGCGAGCATTCAGGGACAAATCTTGACTCCACCCTCTTCCTCGGCCCCGCCTCCGTCTGGCTCCGCCCCTCCAGCCTCGTCCGGTCCGGCCCGGCCCAAACAGTGGAGTTTCAGAGTAGTTGAGTAGAGGCTGCTGCGCGGCCGGGACCCAGAGGTGCGTGCACAAGCCGGTGGCGGAGCCATGGCTGGCGAGGAAGACCGCGGGGACGGGGAGCCAGTATCAGTGGTGACCGTGAGAGTGCAGTACTTGGAAGACACCGACCCCTTTGCATGTGCCAACTTCCCGGAGCCGCGCCGGGCCCCTACCTGCAGCCTGGACGGGGCGCTGCCGCTAGGTGCTCAGATACCCGCACTGCACCGCCTGCTGGGTGCCCCGCTCAAGGTGAGAGAGCTAAAGAAAGCTTGGGGCGATCGGGGCTTCAGGGTAGGCGCTATGAAAGCCGGTGGGAGGTACACCTTGGGGAGAGGCTAGAGTGGGTGCTCTGCTATCCTGCGGAAAGGTCTCAGGGTCCACGCTGCCCCACCTGTGGGAGGATCCTCTCGAGTTGAGGGGAAACTAAAGAGGGGTGATAGAAGCTGGTGGTTTGCGCCACCCTAGCTGCCTCTCTAAGTGAGGCCTACCTGGGGAGATGATCGAGGTCCACTTGCTGCCTGTCTGCCAGTGTGGCTGCCCTGGCTAGAATGACCGTAATCATTCGGGGTGTAGCGGACTCTGGAGGCGGAGCTGAGAGGGACCAGCTTCCACCTGCTCCAGGTGAGGCGAGGGCGGGACCACAAGGAGGGGCGGGTCCAGGGCGGGCCACCAAAGGTGTCAGGCTTCCAGCGGCATTTGGAAGCTAGATTGGGTGCTGCTCCGTAGTCTTGCCCCTGCAGGTTGGGGCTCCGTCGAGGACTGCCGTCTGAGACTTCACAGTGTGCGGGGAGTCCCGGAAAGCGGCCTGGCCCGGGATGCGCGCAGCGCAGGAGGCTGCACGAGTGGAAAAGCCCTCTGAGTCACCGCCCCCAGCAGCCCTTACACCCGTCGCCCATGGGCCGGCGCCTGGAAGCGAGAGGGAGGGCTGCGCTAATTTTAAACAGTCGGCCTGCCTTAGGTTTTCTCTGCCCCGAAGCACAATGCGCGAAAAGGCCCTTTTCCAGATGGCGGCCCTACCTCCTCTTCCCTCCCGTTAGGCGCCCTCAGCCCCCCACAAGCAGTCCTTTCCGGCGCGCTGTTTCCGGGCCAGTACTCTGGGAGGCGCAGTACTACTCACCCCTCACTCTCAGGGCTCCCCGCCAGCCTGTCGGCTCCGAGCTGGTGGGGGTGCCGCCCTGCTCCCAACCACAGCTGGGTGCCGAGTTGCGCAAACTTGCCCCCTGGGCCCGGGGTCTCCCCTGGAATGTGCCCCGAGCGCCGGGCCCCCAGCCTGCATTCTTCGCTCTGCAGCCAGCCCCGCCTCCAAGTGCTGGCGGGAGGGGTGGTGAGACTATTGGCTTGGGGAGTGGCGCGTGTCCGGGCAGAACCCCAGCCTTCAAGGCCATGGCTGGAAGATTGCAGCACATTGCTCGCCTCCAGAGTTTTGATGCAGCTACCCCTTGTCCTGCTTTATTCAGAATGTCAGACTGAGATAGGTCTGGAAGAAGCGAAGGCCACCTCTGATTCAGGATGGGGGCTAGGGAGAAATGAATGCTGAGCTAAAGCAGATTCTCACTTCCAGGCTCCTGAAACTCCTGGTCCTGATGTAAGGCTGGAGCACTACAGAGAAGATAGTATTCTGCCCATCCTGCCACTCTAGGACTGGACCTAGGCCTTACACATAGCCTTTTCACATTTGGAGGCAGGCCTGGGAGTTCAGCTGCAGGAAAGAGGCTCAGAACCACCCTTTACTTCTCCACCTCATTTAGGAACGGGTCTCCCTCCCTCCTCCCCCCAGGTGCTCTGCCCTCTGTTCTTTGCTCCCTAGCTGAGGAACACTGCTGAGCTCCCTCCAGTGGAAAATGTAACTTCCCTAGCCCCAGCTCATGTTCCTGGTCTCCCCATTGTCTTGTTCTCCCACCTGGAGTACCACAGGACTGCCTCCCCTCCCCCACAGGGAGCGGGCACACTAGGTTACCACAGCGCCTGGAGCCAGGACTCTTTGGGGCTGGCAGCTCTGCCAGGAATGGTCAGATGCACTGTGATGTGCTCGTCCCAAATATAAACTGTGACCACAGCCCTAGAATAGAAGTTTGGAGGAAGAGGGGCTGAAAATAGGGCAGGGGCAGGGACATCAGAGAACGGAGGGAGGGGAAGCAGGGCCCCTCCTTGCAGGAAATGTCAACAGCTGGTTCCTCCCCTCGTCCTATAAGTGGGTGCCCCAGAGCATAGACATGACTCAGGCCTCCCTCACTAGTCTTCTAGAGAGGGAGGTGGCCCAGAAATCCAGGCATCCCTATCTCAAGCTGTAGGACAGAAAGAAGAGGAAGGGGCTCTCTACTCACTGCCTCATCCTAATGCACAGCTGTCCTGCAGGAGACAGGTCAGAGCCCAGTGGCCTCTGCCCTCCCTCTCTGGGCACTGGCCTCTGCCATCATTATAGACCCTGCCCCCACGTTGGGCCTGTGTAGAGGTTGGCCCAGGTTCTCCGCGGGGCTCCACCCACACACCCCTGTGGGCTGGGTTTAGCTCCTAGAGTTCCCCTGGGGGCTTCCTTTTTAAAGAGCTTAGGTCTGAGAAAGCCTTTTGCTCATTTCCTCCACGTCTAGGAGGAAGCTCTTGGCCACAGCATCTGACTCATCTCCTGGCTCTGGTTGGTTGGGGGGAGCATGGCAGTGCCTTGGGCCAAGCCTAGTGTCCCTAGAGTAACTCAGGAGTGTCTTCTTCCCCTTGGTGCAAGAGGTTCTCCTAGCCCAGGAACCTGCCCTTGCCTGAGGGGAGAATGTGTGCCTCTGACCCAGTATCTCAACTCCTAATCCAGAGCTACTCAGTCCCTCCCTCCCTTCTGGAAAGTGCCTCAGGAGCTTCCCCCTGAGATCCAAAGGCTCTGCCACATCTGGGCAGAGGGACCTGGGGTGCTTCTCCAGCAACACTTTTTCTCCAGCAGTGGCTAAACATCTGAGGCAGGAGTAGGGCAGGAGGGGCACTGTTTCAGAATGTTTCCTGACCCTACCCCAACACTCTCCAGCCTCTGTTTATCAGGGACCCTTGAGGCAAGAAGGCTTAAGGGTGAACTGGACCTGCTAGGATAGGGGCCAATTAAAGGGATTCCTGAGGATTCTTAAAGGGACAGTGGGGTACACTGGTGATGAACTTTAGAGAATATGAGTCTCCTTGGGAGACTGTAGAAGACTGGGGCTTGGGTATGAGTTGTGGCCTTGCCCAGCCTTCCCTGGAGCACCATGTCTGCTGGTCATTCCAGGCCAGAAGGGCTGAGATGAGCCTGACGAGGGACCCTAGGACCTAATTCTTGGTAGAGGAAGGCACATACCCTACTATGATCATGTATGAGGTGGGGGTGGAGTGGTGTTATTTCTCATTACCTTGGTAGAACTGGGAAGACCAGTTTAGGGTATTTGCAGTGTCCAGAGAGCTGAATGACGGTGTCCAGTCATTGGCAATCTGCAGGCACCAGCCCTCCAGTACCCTTCCAGGGTTCCCTGGAGCACTTCCAAGGCAAATCCACCCAAGATCTGGGTCACTTAGCTCTGGTTCTATTCCTGGCTGTACAGCATGGGGCAATTCACAGAATTTCTGATTCTTGGTTTCCTCACCTGTAAAAGGATTATCAAAAGAAATAGGCAGTGCTGAATCTGGCCAAGAGGAGGTATAACAAATATGGATTTCTCTGCCCAAGACCCATCCATGTCATCACATCCAGGAAGTCACAATCTACTTGGAGACCCATGATAACTTGTGTCTTCAGAACATAAGGTCCTGTGTTTATAGGAAAGGAGACAAACGATTATTTCTCTTTTTTGAGACAGAATCTTACTATGTCACCCTCAGTAGAGTGCTGTGGCGTCACAGCTCACAGCAACCTTAAACTCTTGGGCTTAAGCAATTCTCTTGCCTCAGCCTCCCAAGTAGCCGGGACTATAGGTGCCTACCACAATGCCCAGCTATTTTTTTTGGTGCACTTGTTGTTGTTTAGCAGGCCTAGGCCAGGTTTTAACTCGCCACCCTTGGTGCATGTGGCCAGCGCAGTAACTTCTGTGCTACTGGTGCCAAGCCTAAATGATTATTTCTTAAAACAAAAGTCCTTCAGCATATAATTCTGCCTGTTTTCTATCTTCTTTGTGCCCTGCCCCTGACAAGTTCATTCTTACCTGATTATACTACTATAAAAAATATTGGAGCGGCTCGGCGCCTATAGCTCAACCGGCTAAGGCGCCAGCCACGTACACCTAAGGTGGCGGGTTCGAATCCCCAGCCCGGACCCGCCAAACAACAATGACGGCTGCAACCAAAAAATAGCCGGGCGTTGTGGCGGGCGCCTGTGGGCCCAGCTACTTGGGAGGCGGAGGCAGGAGACTCGCTGGAGCCCAGGAGTTGGAGGTTGCTGTGAGCTGTAATGCCATGGCACTCTGCCCAGGGGGACAGCTTGAGGCTCTGTCTCAAAAAAAAAAAAAAATATTGGAGCATGGATACCATGGTCCCCTAAGCTTAACTCTACGTATAAAGCCATATGTAACCAGCTGGTTTGGGGCTGCCAGGAAAGCCTGAGCCTGGAGTGTCAAGAGAAAAGTGAGCCAGAGGCCAAAGCAAGGGACTGAGTCTGGGAAAGAAAGGGGGAGAACTCTTCCCCAAGTTAGACCAGAGAGAAGTGTGGAAGACAAGAGCTGAGAAGGAGTAAAGACTGTGGATCCATACTATGGGCTGACCCTAGGCAGGAAGCAGGGTTTGGGCTTACTCAGGCCTGGCCCAGACCCACAGTGTGAGAAACAAGGCCCAGAGGTTTGGCTCTCAGAGTGGTGACTCCAGGAAGGGACCAGGGGTGTGAAGGACAAGCACCATCCTGCTGGCAGGAAGTCTCCCTCTGTACTGTGACCCTAGCCTAGCCTCTCCCCCACCCCTACCCAGGACAAACAGCTGGGGGTGGGGGACACTGTCCTGAAGGTATTGAATTGTTATCCTTGGACCTCCTCCCCAGAAAATGGGCCTGACAGGATTGGACAGGTGAAATGGCTAGGGGGCCATTGCCACCACCATGGAGGGAAAGGGTTAAACTTGCTTAGCTGAGGAGGGTAGGAAGGTGGATCATTAGCCTTTGGGATTAGAGCAAGCAAGTGTGCATGTAGGAAGGGAGGACAGCAAGGGGAGCCTGGCCCTTCTGTGGCTGTGTTGCTTTGGCCTGTGTTGGCCAGTGAGCATAGACCCAGCCATATTCCTGGGTGTGAAAGTCGCTACCAGATGTAATACGATCACCCCTCCCATGTTTACCTTTACAGCACTCCACCCCTTCTCTTTCTTAGCACCCATGGAAGTTGTGATTCGATATTTATTTGTGAACATTTTCTGAGTCAAGCCTGTCTGTCTCCCCCACTGCTCTAGAAGGAAGGGAAGTCAGAGACAGTGTCTGGTCTCTGCTACATGCCTCTGCACTTAAAACCAGGCTGGTTTGTGAATGTTCAAATGAATCAGTTGTTCTTTATGTGTGTGATGTGGAGGGATCCCCAAGGGGGAGTTTTGACTCTGGGGGAGGTTTGTTCCTTCCTCTAGGGTCCCAGAATTCTCCAGTCCAAAGTGGAGGGAGATGTGGCTGGGGGTGGGGTGGATAGTCTGCTGAGTCACCATGTGGGAAGAAGGACCAGGAGGAAGGAGCTGAGCTGACCCCGGATAAGATACTCCTAGCCCTAAGACCTTGCCACCTCCTCTCAAGCATGTTCCCAGTAGGCCCTGGAGAAGATGCCTCTGTTCCCAGGGAGGGGTGAGAGGCCAGGCCCGCCCAAGGCGCCCAGGAGAGGGCAGGCAGCCAGGCAGGAAGTGGGACAGAGAACAGAACAGGCTGGAGTGTTTGTCCTATGTCCTATGTCCCAGGTGGGGGGAGGTTGGTGGGGGGGACCAAAGAGCCTTGCAGGCTGAACTGCCAGGAAGGAACCAAATCAGGCTCTGAGGCATGAGCAGAGGTGGTAAACAGAGGCAAGGGGAGGAGCTAGACTCCCTTTCCCCCAGGGGACCCAAGGCTACTGGAAGCCCTTGGGCTGGGTCCAGAGCAGGGGAGGGCTAACCAAAGACAAATGTTGGGGTTGACTTGCCCAGTAAGATGGAGAACAGCAGGCCCTCAGCCTTTCCAGAAGCGGGCTCTCCTCTGGGTAAGGCACCTCCCTCAAGGGTCAAAGACACTCAAGTCAAGGGGACTTTGCTGATCCCACATACCAGCACTGTGCTGTGGGGGAGGTGTCCTGGAGAGTCAGAGTGCTGCCTTTAGCCTCATTGGAATCACCTCACTCAGCACCTCTCTAGAGGTACTTCTCAAGGAGCCAAGTGCCCTGCCTGCTGCCGGGGGTGTGGTGGGGGACCGCCAAGCTCAGGCAGAAGAGAAACATGGGGAGTGGACACATGGATGGAACACATACCTTCCTGTTACAAACACAGGTTTCAGGGTCCTACTGTAGATGGCTGAGTCAGCCCTAAAATCTCATTTTTAATAGGCCCCTTGGAGCCTCTGAGCTCTAAATTAGGACCATTATGACTGTAACCCCCTGGGGGGAGGGCACAGACCCTGAGCCTGAGGCCTGGAGTCTGCCCCTTCTCTTCATTGTCTTAATCAGAGTCTCTCTCTCTTTCTCTCCCTCTCCCCCTTGTTTCCTCTTTCTCCCCCACCCCCCATTGGTTTGTACCTCCCAGCACTCTTAACACTTTCTGGAATTTATGCTTTGTCACTATAGCTTATCACCCCACAGGGCTATAGTTTCCTCCAAGGCAGGAAATCCCCCCCATCTTCTCTCCATTACCCTTCCTCCTTTGTTCCTTTCCTCAACAAGCCTGTGGTGAGCAAGAACTATGTGTCTGGTGCTGTGGGAGTCTTTGCAGATATAGCAGGAAGAAGGCGAACAGGGTGCCTGGACCCAGAGAATACAGTGGGGAAGGAGATTAGTGTCTAGGACATTCTAATGTTGTATGGAAGGTCTCAGAGGGGAGTGAATGCACAAGGTGGAGTGGACTGCATAGCATTGGCTAGAGGTGTTCAGGAAGACATTCTCCCAAAGTGTTAGCTAATATGAGGCCTAAAGAATGAGTAGGCATTAGCCAGAAGAGATTGTCATACAAAAAGGGTAAGAAAACCTAGCGCCTGAGACAGATGGGCTTTGTACATAGTAGGTGCTTGAGAAACAGTTGCTGAAGGAACGTTCAGTTGCATTGCAGACCTTATGTGCCACTCTGCCACACCCCAAATGGGAGGTAGGAGGACACAGGGTCTTCGTATGTTCTGTTGCCACCTCTTCCCTAGTCTAACAGTTGTTCCTTTTGCCTTCAGCTAGAGGACTGTGCCCTGCAAGTGTCTCCCTCTGGATACTACTTGGACCCCGAGCTGTCCCTGGAAGAGCAGCGGGAGATGCTGGAAGGCTTCTATGAAGAGATAAGGTTAGAGCTGAGGGGCCTAGGGAAGCAAAGCTTGCTCCTACCCTGGCCCCTACTAGGGGCTGGTTTAGGTGTTAGCAGTTGAGACACTTGATCTCTAGCCTAGGCTGTGGGTCACCTTCTGCCTCAGGGAACTGTGCCAAGGGAATCTCAAAGCCTGGCCAGTGTTACCTGCTGCCCAGGATTGGTTGGGGGGGGGGGGTTGGCTTTTCCGCATACTTGAGATACCTGTGTTTGCACCAACCCTTCTGTCTGGCTAACCCTTGGGCCCTTGGAACATTTGGGAAGGAGGGAGCTAGGCCAAGGTTAGCATGTGGGAGTGTTTGGTGTTGGCTTTGGAGGAAGGATGCTGAGGAATGAGCTGCTGATTAGGCTCCTTGATTCCAGCAAAGGCCGGAAACCCACACTGATCCTGCGGACTCAGCTTTCTGTGAGGGTCAGTGCCATCTTGGGTGAGTGTGTAAGAGTATCAGCGTCTAGCAGCCTCTCTCTCCCCACCACTCAGCCCACTTGGCCTAGTTTCTTTCAGACCTGTGCTAGACAGGGGGCAAAGCAGATCAGAGACTGGATGTGCTCCTTCCCCTTCCTACCCTAACCTCCAGGGCCAGGGCTGATGTCACAACTAGACTGCAGTAGGGGTTGCCCAAAGTCAGGGATTGAGAATACTAGAATATTCTTTGATGGAGGACTATGGTTCGTCCCTAGTGGAGAAAGACAATGTGTCTGTGTCTCCTTGAGAATTTCATACCCACCTACCCCTTGCAGAAAAGCTGTATGGCTCCAGTGGCCCTGAGCTCCGCCGTTCCCTCTTTTCACTGAAGCAGATATTCCAGGTGAGACCCAGAGATGAGATGGGGTTGGGTGTCCAGCCCACACCTCCCTAAACTCCCCCATGGTACTCCAGGAGGACAAGGACCTGGTGCCTGAATTTGTACATTCAGAGGGCCTGAGTTGCCTGATCCGTGTGGGTGCTGCTGCCGACCACAATTACCAGAGCTACATCCTCCGAGGTCAGCTCCGCCCTGCCCCCATGACCTCTGCCCCAGTGATCCTCACTGATGTCTTCTCATCCCTGTGTCTCTAGCACTAGGCCAGCTGATGCTTTTTGTGGATGGGATGCTGGGGGTGGTGGCCCACAGTGAGACCGTGCAGTGGCTGTA